AGAAAGAGGCGATCAAACGCATCCGCAGACACAGTCAGAGCGTGCTTCATGATCTGCTCATCAGAGGATTTAAAGATGAAGTCAAAGATGTAAGTGTTATATATTTGCTCATATTTGATCAGTTGCTGCAGGGCATAATGCTTTACCATCTGTTTAAATCATTTGATTTGTAACAATTGCTAATGTAGGGAAAACTTTTTATATAAAAATGTTTTCCTAATGCCATGAAAAAACAGCATATGAGCTATAAAAGATTTTATTTTTTAAAGTTTGGTTAAATATGACCTATTACACCCCTTTTTACAAAATGTAAGTCCTTATAGTGTCCCTACACTGAAAAAAATCATTCAAAGATGATTCCTTGGATTTACTCAATTTTTTTACGTTAAGTTGTTGTAAACAATTTATTTGCGCTGAATTTAAACAAACAAATTAAGTTGAACATTATTAAACTTAATTTGTTTGTTTAAATTCAACACAAATAAATTGTTTGCAACAGTTTTGCATGCAACACTTTTTTCAGTGTAGAGTGTGTATGTGAAGTTTCAGCTCAAAATACCCCACAAATAATGTTTTATAACTAGTTTTATAATGTTTTATAACTAACCTTTAAAACTACTACTACTTTTAGGCTTTGATCCTAATTGTGTTATTTTGGTGACTATCTCTTTAAATTTAAATGAGATTGTTGCTCCCAGCCCTGTTTTGAAAAGAGTGTGCATTAGCATAGTAGCAGATTAAGACCCCGTTTACACTATTGCGTTTTAGTTTGAAAACGCATAAGTTTTGCTACGCGGTTACGACATCCGTCCACACTACGCCGGAGTTTTCGAGCGCCAAAAACGGAGCGTTTTGGAAACGCTGGAGAGGCCGTTTTCATTCTGAAACGCTGCTGCTCCGTCTCAGTGTGGATGGGGAAAAACGGAGACATCTGAAAACGGAGGGGGGGCTGCTGAGATTCGCTACCTGGTTGGGGCTTTTGTGTGATCCTTCCCTTGTTCGTCAAGCCCCTATCACATGACTATAACATATGGCTTTAACGCTACCGGGAAACAGCAGACCAGCCTTCACTGTAAACAACAACACAGACACAGAAATGGGAGCGTTGTTTGCATTATTGTCTGTTTTAGGCACCATTGTGCAGTTATTCATTTGTTACGTTTAGTAACAACTGGACCTCGTCGTCTGTCCACAAAAATACCTCTCTTGCTTTCTTTGCTACGGCATTCATTGTTCAACCGGCGTTTGTTGACAAACAATAACCAAATGCCAAGCGAGACAGATGCTTTCTGTTTATACTAGAACATGCATGCCCAGAGTGTGCGAATGGTCACGTGATACACGTTTTTGGTGGTGTAGTGTGGACGGAGATATGTTCAGAAACGCTAGGTGAAGCGCTAGTGTGGATGCAGATCGTTTTTGATCTAAAACGCCGTTTTCAAATTAAAACGCACTAGTGTAAACGGGGCCTAAAATTGGCTACTTCTCACTCAGGGCTGTCTATAATGAGGGAGAGATCATTACCAATGGTTGGGGCTTTTCCCCTTTGAGTGGTTCTGCAGATTGTTTTTTTTTAACTTATGAAAAGGGCCAGACGGAATCTGCGGGCATTTTTTTGCTATTTCTGCTGAGAATTTTGGTAAAAATCTGCTGAATTATTTTGGAAGTATCCAGCGCAATATCATAGCTAAAACCCAATATAATAAATAAAAAGTAATAAATTACTGAATAAAAACTGAATAAATTCAATTTACACATTAACTCAAGTAAATAAGCAGAATTAATAATGGGCTAAAAATCTGCAGAAATCTAGTTTACTAGTTAGGTTTGTCCACATTTGACCCAAAGTAATGTAGAAACAAATCCCTTTAAATATGGTAGGCTAAGCATATAGTCTATTCGAATCTAATAACATGTAGGTGCTTATAGTCAACGATGACTAAAGGGGACTATCACACTGAGTAACTCTTTATTCTGCTTATATAAAGTTTAATCCTAGACATATGTAACCTTGTAAGGGATTCCTCATGTGTTGTGTGTGATCGCAGACTCGTCCTACAGGCCGCAGAGCCACCAGACCTCTCACTCCATCATGGCGTCAGTCTCTGGACAGTGTTTTCACACGTAAAGGCAGCCTCTTTCTGCTGGATGGAAACAACGCTGTGGAAATCATCAAAGTAAAGCAACACATGCTGCACTGGCAAACTGTCATTTATTCATTCGTTCATTCAATCTATTGTTCTTCGTTCGTTCATTTGTTCGTTCACTGATTCGTTCATTCGTTTTTGTTTGTTTATTCATTTGTTTGTTTGATTGTTCATTCATTTGTTACTTCATTCATTCGTTAGTTCAGTTGTTCACTCGTTTCGTCCGTTCAATCATTCGCTTGTTCATTCAAATATTTGTTCCTTCATACCTTGGTTCATTTGTTTATAAATTTGTTCGTTCTCTCATTCATTCATTAATTAATTTGTTTGTTCGTTCATTCCTTGACCTGTTTATTCTTTCGTTCATTCATTCGTTGATTCGACTGATGCAGTAATATATTATATTGTGTATGTGTGTGTGTGTGTGTGTGTGTGTGTGTGTGTGTGTGTGTGTGTGTGTGTGTGTGTGTGTGTTTTAAATAATGCTAAATCTATTTTGAAACTATGAGGCTCAAAAAAAGTATTTCAACCGTCATATATACCTATTAAAACATATTTCGGAATTTATTTAAGGCTCAAGAAAATACATTTCCAACCTCACAATAGAATGCTGATGGAGATTTCAAATTATTTCATATCGTATTAAGCCAATTATGCGAAACAAATACAGTGACAGTCAGATATTTATTTATACATACTTTTTTTTGTAAAATTAAATATTTTTGTAAATATGTTAATGTATTTTCTTATAAAATAATTAAAAATATTTACATAATTTAAAATATTACAAATTATATTGTATACATATCTCTTTGGGTGTGTCTGTGTGTGTACGTGTTAAGCAAATATGGAAAAAAATCACAGAAGAAAATATATTTATATTCATTTTTAATGATTATATTTTAGTAAATGTATTTTGATCATTTTTGTATATTCAGAAGTATATACATATTAAATGTCTTGGGCTTGACAAGTAACATTTTTCCTTCTATTATAATCTGTGCAGCCTGACAGGTCAATCCAGCCAGTGCTCAGAGGACGGTTGAGTGACTTGTACCTTCCTGCGATCACAGGAACCACATCAAACCTGCAGGCAGCAAAGGCCAAACTCAGTCACTCATGCCCTTATCTGAGCTCCAGCAGACGCCGAGGCTCCACTTCCTCAATCGGCTCACAGAAACTTCCAGACTTCAACAGCAAACAGGTGATAACAGCCTAAAGCTGTCTGAGCGTACGCTGAGTTCTTAGTTCTCAGTTCTTAATAAGAGTCTATAATGTTTCACTGGATCTTCATTAAATATGTGTTAAAGTTAGGGCTGTCTGTAAAATTTATAAATTTAATTTATTACACAATATTCTGCTTAATCTAATTAAATGATGTAAATTAAGGATATCAAGTTTAACTGAGAAATTACCACCAAAAATACATTTTATATGCATCTTTATTCAGTTAAATGTAAAAGTAGATCTTTACTAAAGAAATCTCTTTATTCAACATAGATTTAAAAAAAATTGCAGTTTTAATTTTTTATATTATTATATCATTATATTTTATAAAAAGTCATATTTTTTCAGAAGCTGCATTTAAACTGGTATATATATACAATATATATAATGTTGGTATAATGTTTTTAACCAAACAATTTTATATATATGTTTAGAATAGTTTGGTTAAAAACATTATACTAACATTTCTGCTACAAAAAAGCTGAGTAAATGATGACAAAGATTTCTTTTTTTTTTAAGAAACCTAATACAACACTGTCATTTATTGATTCAGCTGTATAGGAAACTATTTATTTATTTATTTGCTTATTTATTTAACCAAATTTATGTATTTGGTTACTTATTTATTTGTTTTTTAATTTACTTATTAATTTACGCATTTATTTGTTTATTTGTTTATTTATTTATTTGGATATTTATTTATTTACTTATTTATATATTTATTTACTTATTTATCCATTTATATATATATATATATATATATATATATATATATATATTATATATTTCTATTTACTTATGTATTATTAATTTACTTATTTATGCATTCGTTTTTTAAACATATTTATGTATTTACTTATGTATTTATTTATCTATTTATTTACTTATGTATTCATTTGTGAGTTTATTTATTTATTTACATATTTATATATTTTTTATTTATTCATTTATTTACTTATTTATGTATTTTTTTGTTTATTCATTTATTTGTGTGTTTATTTGTTTGTTTATTTATTTGTGTGTTTATTCGTTTGTTTATTTATTTGTGTGTTTATTTGTTTGTTTAGTTATTTATTTATATTATATTTTCTGAATTTAAAAAAGATATTTGCTATTATGCAGTGTTGTTATACACACACACATATGTATTTGAGAAAACGCTTATTTGTATTTATAATTTAAACATTTTTATCTTTTACAAATTGTATATAAATATGTAAATATTTTGGTTTTGTAAGTTTTTTGTATTTTATTTACAGTATATATATACACAATATTTATACAAAGTGAATACACACACATTATATAAATGCAAACGTTTATTTTGAATGCGATTTATCGTGATTAATTGTTTGATAGCACTAAAGAAAATACATGAACTAGTAACACTGGATGAAAATCTATTTGATGTCTAAAAAGGCTGAGGCATATTTTAAAAGTTTCTCTGGACACATTGGAAATATTTCTTGACTGTCATAACAACAAACAAAAATTACAACACAATTTTATTAATCCCAATTTAATTTCAGTAGCAAGTTTAAAGAAACTACCACTACTGCTTTCCAGTATCACTACAGAAAATATATACAGATATATATTTACTGCAAATGGAAAGAATCAAGTTAAAAATGTGCATTTTCTGTCACCATAATGATTTTCGAAAGAGTTACCCGTGAGAGCTCTTTGTCTCCATACTGTCTTCCAGAGTTTCCTCAAAGCGCAGAAGGAGTCCAAGAAGTCAAATGTGACGGTGACGATGACGTACCTCGGGCAGGGTCTTCCTGGAAGCGCTCGGGATGAGATGAAAGTGCTTCAGCAGATCTGTGGAGGAGAAAACATCTGTGTGTTTAAAGGATTCGTCCAACCCGGAGGTGAAGTTCACTATCCTGTTACCACACTCAATATACCGCTCCAGATCTTACGCCTAAGCCTTTTTAAAATAACAACAACTTAGAGAAATATAGAAGAATACAACATAAGAAGAATACAGCATTATGTGTAGTAAGAATTTCAAATATGCCGAACAAAATAGTTTTGCAAAAATTTATAATGCAAATATTTTTGATATAAAAGGAACTAATGTAATGACATTAAATACAATAAAATGACAATAATACATTTGGTATTATCTGTAGGGATTAATTTTTTATTTTTTTTTGTAATAATGAACGAATCCATAAATAAATATATACAGTATATTAAACATTAAAACTTAAAAATCTGTGGATTTTAGTGGAATAATTTTAATTAAACAATGAACACTTTACATAAATAAATAAATAAATAAATAAATAAATAAATAAATAAATAAATAAATAAATAAATCACGGTGGCTCAGTGGTTAGCACTGTCGCCTCACAGCAGGTCACTGATTCGAGTCCCGGCTGGGTCTGTTGGCATTTCTGTGTGGAGTTTAGAAATTGTCCTAGTGTTCACATGGGTTTCCACGTGAACACTAGGTGAGGTTTCCCCCACAGTCCAAAGACATGCACTATAGGTGAATTGAATAAACTAAATTGGCTGTAGTGTATGAGTGAGTGTGTGAATGTGAGTGGGTGTTTTTCAGTACTGGGTTGCAACTGGAAGGGCATCCGCTGCGTAAAACACATGCCAGAATAGTTGGTGGTTCATTGCGCTGTGGTGACCCCTGATAAATAACGGACTAAGCTGATGGAAAATGAATGAATGACTGAACGAATAAATAAATACTTTTATTTAAGTTTAACAGTTTTAAATCCAATGAGAACAACTTGGTACATTTATATGGGAAGAAAATAAACAGGGGTCTAATAATTCTGACTTCAACTGTATATCAAAATCTATAAAACATATACTGCATATTTATATACAGTTGAAGTCACCCCCCCACCCCAATTTCAAAACATAATAGTTTTAATATCTAATTTCTACTGACTGATTTATTTTATTTTTGGTATAATGACAGCAAATAATATTTTACTAGATATTTTCAAGACACTTCTATACAGCTTAAAGTGACATCTAAGGCTTAACGGTAATTAGGCAAGTTATTGTATAACAGTGGTTTGTTCTGTAGACTGTTGAAAAAATATTTGCTTAAAGGTGCAAATAATTTTAACCTTAAAATGGTTCATAAAAAATTAAAAACTGCTTTTATTCTAGCCAAAATAAAACAAATAAGACTTTCTCCAGAAGAAAAAATTTTATCAGACATACTGTGAAAATTTCCTTGCTCCGTTAAACATCAGTTGGAAAAAAAAAAAAAATAATAAAAAAAATCAAAGGGGGGCTAATAATTCTGACTTCAACTGTGTGGGTTAATACAAGCATAAACAATAAGGTATTAAGAAACCTAATTTGTACTTGTTCTCAATAGAGCAGTTTCAGTTCACATCTCAGAGACACCTGGGCTTCCCCTTCAGCGCTACTATCTTTGTGAATGGACTGATGACCACGAGGATCAGCTCCTGCTGCGAGTACAGATACGCTCCTGGCTTTCAGCAAGGCCGCAGGAGCTGCTTCAGACTGACACGACTAAATGGAGGAAAACCCTGCTACAAGTGAGATCAAGAAAACATTTTTTTTTGCAAACACGATATGGATTGCCATTGTAAAAATGTTTTCCTTTTACAGGTGTGTGAATTCTAGGCATGGAATTGGCGCCCCTGCGATCAATCGTGCAGCTCCAACCTCGACACGAGCCGTCAATTCCAATGAAGGTGTGTGTTGATGCAATACTGTTGATTTTCTCTCTGATGTTTTTAAAGTAATGATTCAGGGTGCAATATTTCCTCAACGCTTCAAGGTAATCAATGGTGCACCAGCCATATGGCGGCACATATGGCAGGGTTGAGTCGGGTCAGTAGCTGGATGGGAGACCACCTGAGAAAAGTAGAGCTGTGTTCAAAATCACCTGATACCCTTGTTCATCATCACCAACATTAGTCTAGTAATATAGTCCACTCAAAATAGAGAATGGAAATGAGACACTGAATTAATAGTTTGTGCTTGCTGTTTCATAAAGTGTATAGCTGATAATGATGTGGATAGATTTAAAGAGATCCCTGCAGGCACAGGACGTCATATTGACGTTGTACCCCCATCGTGATGGGGACATTGGATTTTGTTTGGAAATGAAAATCAGGTTGACGTCAAAACGTAGCGTCAGGCCAATGTCCAACCTAAAGTCAACCAAATATCAACATCTAATCATGTTACACCTTGACATTTTGTGGACAATACCACTATGACCTCTACCAGATGTTAGATTTTGGTCACTTTCCAACAAAACCTAAAATCAACCAAATATCAATGTAATTGGACATCATTTTTGGACATCATAATAATGTTTTCCTTAGATGCTGGTGTAACAGAGGCCAGCTAGTAGGTGCTGTGCAGGTAAACCTCACTCCTCTGACCTCTAAAGGTGCTCTAGCGACAGACGCTAGAGGCCATGATCTTTAGCCTCCTTGTTAGAGCAACCGACTCCCATGCGGAAGGTCGCCGGTTCGATCCCAGCTCGGAGCGGGTTGGGTGGCGTAGGACCGGAGGGGTTACATTGGTGCCGTGACCCGAATGGGAGTGAGGTTTAGGGGGGTGAGTGTAACGGAGGCCAGCTAGTAGGTGCTGTGCAGGTAAACCTCACTTCTCTGACCTCTAAAGGTGCTCTAACGACAGACACTAGAGGCCATGGTCTTTAGCCTCCTTGTTAGAGCAACCGACTCCCATGCGGAAGTTGCCGGTTCGATCCCAGCTCGGAGCGGGTTGGGTGGCGTAGGACTGGCGGGGTTACACTGGCTAGACATTGAATTTTGGTGACCTGACGTCATGACCTGAATCTAACCTAATATTACCCCCCTATGATGTTGTGTCCCTGTTGGGATAGTTCATCCAATAATAAAATCTTTGTCATGATTTATAATCACCCTTCACTTGTTTAAAACCTAATTGAGTTTCTCTCTTATGTCATAACGCAAAATAAGGGATTTCGGGGAATGCTGGTTGTTGGTACCCATTGACTCTCATAGTATTTTATTTTCCCACTATGGAAGGCAATAGCTGCATTTCCGTTGTCGGGCCAGTGGATGCCAAGGCTTTTATTGGGCTGGGCTGGGCCGGGCCAGTCGCCCAGGAGGTTAAGCAGTGAGTCCGAAATCATGTCGTGTTTCCACTGTCGGGCTAGTAGTTTGCAGCGCGTCATGAAAACCCCGCCCCCAGAACACTCCCTGAATCAAACGTCACACAGCCTGTCCACTTCAGCAGGAATCAGGCAGATAAGTCACACCATCACATCATCACGAAACGATTAAAATGAAGACAACCGAAACAAACAAATGACACGCTACTGTACAGCATTATACATTATATGTACATTATATGTCTATTCACACGTGCCTGTGTGTTCTCATTCATCATTTTCTTTATCTCGTCGACCAATGTTGGCATCGAACATTGAGTGGTCTCGCCACTAACGGAGGGACCCAGCGGTTACAAAATCAACTTGGGCTGCATTCCAGTCCAATGTTTTACGCTAGCTGCCCTCCATCTCGTTCCTTCGGATGTAAATCAGTAATTATGTTACACAAGTGTCCACTACTTGCAGAACATCTGAATGGGTTTTAACGGAATGCCCTATGAGCACTTGGGAATTACACTGTTGTAACATCACAACTGCATTGCATTCTGGGACACATACACTCACTGGCCACTTTATTAGGTACACCTGTCCAACTGCTCGTTAACACAAATTTCTAATCAGCCAGTCATGTATTATTTTGTGGGGGATATTTTCTTGGCACACTTTGGGCCCATGAGTACAAATTGAGCATCGAGTGACGCCACAGCTTACCTGAGCATTGTTGTTGACCATGTCCATCCCTTTATGACCACAGTGTACCCATCTTCTGATGGCTACTTCCAGCAGGATAACACCCCATGTCATAAAGCGCAAATCATCAAACCATCATGACTTCACTGTGCTCAAATGGCCTCCACAGTCATCAGATCTTAATCCAATTGAGCACCTTTGGGATGTGGTGAAACAGGAGAGTCGCTTCATGAATGTGCAGTGATGCTATCATGTCAATATGGATCAAAATCTCTGAGGAATACGTCCGGTACCTTGTTGAATCTATGCCACAAAGGATTAAGGCAGTTCTGAAGACGAAAGGGGGTCCAACCTGGTACTTGTAAGGTATACCTAATAAAGTGGCCGGTAGGTGTAGGTGCTAGAGTGGATATATGAAGCCGACTTGCTCTCTCTGTCAAAATTAAGAGACTGATGTCCATTTAAGCATCCCTCCTTCACTTGATGAAGTGGAACTCACTTTAAAATGGAAGCAGGGAATCCTCAGAGGGAACAAGGGAAGGGAAGTTCACAAGTGCATGATTAATGATAGACTGGAACGTTTAACAACCAGCTCCAAATCAGCTTTCCTAAAGTTTCTAGGGCCCTATCCTAACTGGCATTGTTCATGTGCGATTGTAATCTTCTATTTGTAGTCATGTGTACACATGTAGGATGAGTCTATGAAACTATAGGATGCCAGTTATGTTTCCCAAAGGCCAATTTTTTTTAACAGCAAGCCATTCTGAGGGAGAGTGCATGTGCATTAAATGCATTACATCGTATTAAATCAATGACGGTAAACAAAGAACATGAAGTTGTATGTTGTATTTTCAGTACTTTTGGTACTTTCAAGCAGACTACCACCTGCAGACCACTGCCATAGGGTATCCCATCTGTTATTTTAGCTTTCATAAGGATGCTTGTGAGTGCCCTATCTGGAGCTATCCACCCACAATGTGCCCTTCTAATGATCCTCCCCCGAGTCAAGCCCCACAGCAGATTCTACCCAACAGTCAAAAGTAGCATTACATCAAAATGTGGTCTGAGATAAAGACTGCAAGGCTTTTAACAACCCCTAGCAACCCTGAAAACCTTGATTAGTTGGTTTTTGGCTTAGGATTGTTTGATTAAAGTTCCTGACCCTCCAGGAATTGTGCTTGAGTCCACTGCTCTAGCCATTGAATGAGCATCTGACATACCGTCATAACTGCAGTGCATTATTGGATCGAATGAGTGCCCTTGAATATGTCCATCGAAGATGTCAGACACCCCTACAATGATTGCGCCTACAAATAGTACCTTAGTTAAGGGCACGGGGAGGCTGTTTCAGCCTTGATTAGTGTGGGAAGAGGCTTTTGGGAGGCCAGAGGGAGTGCTTAACCTGCATCTGTTTGGGTCTTAATACCAGGGGCCTCATGCACGAAGACTTGCGTGGAAATCTTACTAAAAGCTGTAAATGTGTGTACGCAGAAAATAATTCAGATGTATGAAACACTGCGTACGCCGAATCTCACGCATATTCGTTTGTACATCTGAATGAACGTGAAACTGAGCGCAACATGCACGAGCACAAAACCCCTCCCTGCCTCCTCCCCCGTATGAATATGCTAATGACTATGCTAATGGCAAAACCCAACGAAAAAGCAATGGCAAAATCAAGCAAAAAGAGAAACTTTGAACAGAATGTGAAATGGAGGTGCTGCTTTCGGAGGTAGACCGGAGAAAAGCGGTGTTATTTGCAAGTTTGTTCTCCGGAATTAACAACAAAACAAAAAAGCTGATGCGGTTAACACAGTTGGGTCTGAACATCGCACTGAGTGCATTAAAAATAGAAATAGTGTGGTTTATATCTGTTAAATGTTGCAGCACCCTTCAGTCTCAGTGGCGCACCTCGTAAGACGCACGTGATCATGTATTGACACGTTCGAGCATAAACTCGGCTCGAATCCAGCGTCTGATGAACTCTTTCTTCTTTTTTTCCCCACTACATATCAGATTTTGCCCACTATTTATCACGAGAAAGACAAGTAGGAATCATCAATAAGTTTGTGCATCATATTTTATTTGCACATTTATTGAATGGAAATGTTTCTGATTCACGCATGCAAATTCATCTTCAGATAGTGTCTTTATAGCAATGTGCGTGCGGTAGATTGCTCAGATTACATTGGGAAAACAGGCGACCGCTGCAAATTGCGCTTTAATGTTTAGCTGGTCAAATGTATGGTATGGAAACCTTACATACCTACTAGATGAACCCGTCTCATACAGCTGCCATTGCAAGGCTCAGACACTTTGTAGAGAGGAATTTAACACAACTGCCTCTAGGAGTCGCCAATGGAAATAAAACAGACACGCACAAAAAATGTGCGTATGCCAGCCAGAAAGCTGCCGTGAAGCTGCGCACATTCCCACGTTCAGTTCATTCTTAGTAAATCCAAACGTGGGCGATTCTGAGCGTGAAACCTGGCGTACGCAAAGTTTTTGTGCATACGCAGCGTTGATACATGAGGCCCCTGGTGACTGTGGAGGCCAGTGAACTCATCGTCATGTTCAAGAAACCAATCTGAGATGATTTGTGCTTTATGCCATGGTGCATTATCCTACTGGAAGTAGCCATCAGAAGATGAGTACACTGTGGTCATAAAGGGATGGACATCAACAATACTCAGGTAGGCTGTGTCGTTGACACAATGATCAATTGGAACTAATGGTCCCATTGTGTGCCAGGAAAATACAACATTACACCACCTACAACACCCCAACAACATTACACCACCACCAGCCTGAACCGTTGATACAAGGCAGGATGGATCCATGCTTCATGTTGTTGATGCTAAATTCTGACCTTAATGTCGCAGGAGAAATCGAGACTCATCAGAACAGGCAACGTTTTGCCAATCTTCTATTGTCCAATTTTGGTGAGCCTGTAATGTAGCCTCAGTTTCCTGTTCTTAACTGACAGAAGTGACACCCGGTGTGGTCTTCTGCTGCTGTAGCCTATCCGCCTCAAGGTTCGACCTGTTGTGTGTTCAGAGATGCTGTTCTGCATACCTCGGTTGTAACGGGTGGCTATTTGAATTACTGTTGCCTTTCTATCAGCTCGAACTAGACAGGCCATTCTCCTCTGAACTCTGGCATCAGCAAGGCAGTTGAGCATTGTACCTAATAAAGTGGCCGTTTTTTGTGTAGAGTCAAGTTAGAGCTTGGACTCTTGGATTAAATTTGGGCTAGATAGATGCTGCGCCCTTGCGGCGAGTGAGAAGACTCTTCCTGGGATATTTTTTTTTGAAACTGCATAGTAATGTGTGATATAAATGCAATAATTCAATCTTTCCCCTCTGTCCAGGTGTTATGGAGTCGTGTCCGTCTTCCCCTTTATTCGTCCCTCTTGGAATGGAAAGATCTGTGCAGAAGACCAGAAAACTGTCTAAAGATGGAGGTGCTTTGTCAACAGACAGTGAAGACATGAACGGCAGCTTGAAAGAACGACGACCTCACAAACGCCACAAAGGACCACGCAGCCAACGAGGAGAGGGCAAAGCTTCGGAGGACTCGCAAGCACATGGAAAAAACGAAGCTGAAGACAAATCGCCTTCCATAGCCAAAGAGCAACTGCAAACATCAGCCAAAAAACATAATCCAGTGACAGAAAATAAAAGCAAAGTGGCAGGTGAGTGCAAGTCTGATGTGGTTATAATGCCCGTGAGAGGACAAGGCCATTGCATATAGAGCTGCATGCCAGGTCAACGCAAAAGCTACCTCAAGATGAAGCCTTGTTGTAAATCATTAGCTTGTATTTTATTTTATAGACAGCACTATCAGGACAGTTGCATTTCTCAAGATTCATTGCAGGAAGGAAAAACGCAGAGCAAGCGGGATGGGGAGAAAGCGACGGATCCTTCACAATGGAATGGAAAAAGCAGGAACAGGGGAAGACTGAGGGACTTCTATGAAGAATGTGTTGAAATGAGCACTGGTCTGGAATCAGGCCTAGACCAACAGAGGTGGTTCAAAGTAAACAGTGAGTCAAGAACTGCGGTTCATTGCTCACAGACAGGGTTTCCCCTGAGTCTTTTAGCCTGATTTACAGGGAGTCAATCATTTTACCATAAAGGTTATTAGAAAAAGTCGTTTTTAATTCAAACGTAAGCCGAGGTTAGTGGGAAGTTTTAAGGACACGAGCAGTGCTTGAATGCAAAAACAAAACACAACTACTTTGTTTAACGTTTAGTTACAAAAATAATAACAATTTGGTCACAGTAAAAAATATATGTTAATTATCATTTCCGTATTTTGTGATTCACAAGTGTTTCCCGTTTCTGTTTTCACACTTAGATATTGCTTGATAATAATAGCAGAGTGGGCATTGTGTACCAGGAGAGAACCCAGATGTAATGGGGTACGAGATCAGGTAGTTCTCAACAGCTTCCCCTGGTAAAGGAGGAAAGGGGGAGATGGGGTGGATGGGGGGATTCTTCAGAAAAACAATGATAAGTTGGGCTGTTTATAGTATGTTTGGAATGATCCGATTGGCTTACTAATGATTACAAGTGAGAGACCAGCCCCGATCAATCATATCACATGCTCCTTTCGAAATTAATTTGTGAAACTTCACTTATGGATGTGAATTGCATCATTGAGATGTTGATCTCTGCTCTGTCGACTTTTGATGCTGAAAGTTCAACCCTACAGTTTAACAGAGTTACTTTTAATTGACATTTTAGTTTTTTTGAAATGATATAATGTATAAGATATAATATATAAAGAATTGGGTCTGTAAAATTACAGAATTTTAACTGGGAGTTTATTGCAAGGTTTTTGTACTGTAAATATACAACCCAACCCAGACAAAAAGTCACTTTAAGCTGTAAAAAAAGTCACTTAGATTAAATAAAAAATAATAATAAATAAATAAATAAATAAAAACACGAATTTCAAAATACGGAAAACATTATTAAAATATTAAACATTACTGTAATAATACAGTAGGTAAAAAGAAGCAGATCCTTAAAGGGATGGTTCACCCAACGCTGAAAATCCTGTCATCATTTACTCATGATTTACTTGTCACAAACCTGTTTCAAGAGTTCACACTTAGCTGATGATTTATAAAAGCTTGTTTGGCATGCTGTCCCGGGAGAGAGCCCCGAGCTCAAAGGCTCCTCGAGCCCGGGGCTTCCTCCCGTTGGCAGAGCGAGAGGGGAGTCTGAGCTCGGTGGATCTCAGAACTCCCTTGCTGCGGTAGCAAAGGGAACACAAGGGATTAGACAAAGCTTGATTGTTAGGTATGTTGAATGTCTTTGGATGGTGGGAGGAAACCGGAGAACCCGGGGAAAACCCACACGGACACGGGGAGAACATACAAACTCCTCACAGAAACACCCACCGGTCCTGTGGAACCAGGGCTGGCAGTGTTCTTGCTGTGGGGCTCACAGTGCTAACCACTGGGCCGCCGTGCCGCCCAATCAGAGGTAAAGGAGGAGAATAGGGGAGGAGGGGGGTTTCTTCCAAACGAGGATAAAGTGAACTGAAAACTGTGGCTATTTATAGTAGCTTAGGGCTCATATGATTGGAAGATAGTGATTAATCATAAGCACGTGATCCTCTCGAAATTAGTTTATATATAAACTTCACTTAAATTTTTTCTTAAAATTGCTGAAAAACTGTAACCCTTGACTTCCATAGTACTAGTTGCAATATAGGCTCATTCTGAAAGCATAGCCCTATATACATTTCTGGAGATCAAGAATTATGTAGCCAGAGGTACATATGGCTGCATTTCATTTTTAAAACGCACACTACGGGGTGGTATGACGCCGTTTCTTTTTGCGCCTACCAGCTAACCGCTTACCTCCATGTGGACGTTTTCCGGCTATCAGTTTGACCAGTAGCTCACTATGTACATCGGCAGACTCAAGACGCAGAGAATTGATGACCACGATGAGTCCGGTGAAGAATGGTTCCAGAAAGTGGATAAGACAAAAAAAAGAAGCCAAAAAATATAATCAACAAGTAAATAACAGGGCGAGAATTGTGTAAAATCTGAAAAACGTGGTAAAAATCAGGCGAGCGCTTTTCTTTTTTTGGATTGCGTCTTAAACTGTGGGTTGGGTTTAATGAAGTGGGTGGGTGGGTCAATCGGTGCTTTTGAAAACACTATTGGTTGGGTTTACAGAAGGAGGAGGGTGGATCAGTCGATCGGTTGGTCACTCAGTTGATAGCGGCCTCTGGTGGATTTACGTGAGAACAGCAGGCACGAGTGGCACTCACAAGATATTTGACATCTCAAAAAGCGTACACAGCGGCCTCTGGTGAACTAAACAAAAACTGCAAAAAAACATACCCCTGGGATGTATTTGGCGCTATCCAGAAATGTATATAGAGGTACGTTTACAGAATGAGCCTGGGTTGTTTTTTTTTTACTATGGAGGTCAATGATTATAACATTTTTCAAAATAACTAATTTGTTGTGTTTAACAGAAAATAAAAAGGAACTCATAAAGGTTTGAAACCAATTGAGGGCGAATACACAATGGGTAAATTTTCATTTTTGCGTGAACTATCCTTTTAACAAGACGTGCTATGATAACTACAATGTTAATGATGGTGGTTTTAAAAGGGACATAGTAGCCTATGTGTGCCATAATGAGTACATTTATATTAAGGCAGTATTAAAGAGTTGAATTAGAACTGATTTAGAAAGGAAATTACAACCCAATACTGCTTGCATGTTTTCTTAATAATCCAGTTCATTTAATACTGACACGTTGTTGTATTATATTTGACTATTTTCATTTGGAACTTTATAAAACTAAACCAAACGATGAGATCATTCATAAAGACATGATCAATCTGGCATCAGTGCCAAGACAGCTATATTAAATTATATTGCAGTTGAATAAATTATAGAGATTTCAGTAGATTACAAAGCTGATGTATTGGCAGGAATATACAAAACATTTTTTGGGAGGAGGTGAGGTGATATAAGATATTATTTGATTCTAAAAACTTATTTGTAATTGTATTTTGTATTATCTGCTAGAATCTGAGAGGAACAAAATCAAGGAGCAGATCACATCAGGACTCACAGGCTCGGCATCAGAAGTAGAACTGAGTGCAGAAAGTGACAGCGACGCCACAGAAGCAAGGATACCTAAAATTAATAACAAGCAAGGTCAGTATAAGCTCATCATGCTCTAAATTGTGGCATGATATGGGTCATTTAAGATGTCCCATTTTGGTGTCTACATCAAATGAAACGTACAAAAGGGATTATATTTACATAGAAAATGTTTTTTTTTTATATAATGCAAGTAAATGCTTGTTTGATTTCTAATAAATTTTGTGAAAAGAAAATGTTGTAAATTCTAAAATAAAAATGTAAAAAAAAATAAATGTTGAAAATAATATGGGGGAAACATTGTTTGTAAAACAAAATAAAAGAGGATTATTCTGACCTGTGATTATAGGAAATTTGATAACATTTACAATTATTAAAACTTATTGGATAATGGCAATGTAAATGATTTGTGATCTTTTAATTTGTCATAAAAGAAAATTTGCCCGTATGTATGAAAGTAACATTAAATGAAGTTTCACCATGGTTTAATGCACTGAAAAAAATGATTCATTGCATTTATTTATTTATTTATTTTAATTAAGTGGTTGCAAACTACTTTTATGGGCTGAATTTAAACAAACAAATGAAATTCAGTAATGTTCAACTTAATTTGTTTATTTAAATTCAGCTTATATCAATAGTTTGAACTATTTTTTTGTGTGCGTGTGCTTGAAGGCCCTTTTTTTCTTAGTCCCCCAGAAATAATTCATTTATTCATATTCCTCCGGCTTAGTTCCTTTATTCATCAGGGGTCAACACAGCGGAATTAACCGCCAACTTATCCAACATGTTTTACACAGCGTATGCCCTTCCAGCTGCAAACCAGTTCTCCCCCTCCTCAAAAAAAAAAAAAAATGTATGCAATATATACAAATTATTATACAATCATGACATGCTTTAATTTCTTTTTTTTTCTTTTTTTTTTTTACAGTAAGTGAAGATGCAGAGGATGTTACATCTGAGCAAGACTTACAAAAACAGGTCATCTGAAATCAAATAATTTTCTTCTACAAAAGTTCCTATAATGCTTTTTTTTCTTTTGGAGAAAGTCTTATTTATTTTCATTGGAATAAAACATAATTAAAACTAGAAATATGTATATATATTTTTGATTGCCTAATAAATCACTGTTGTCCAATGATTTGCCTACCTAACTTGTAGTTAATTAACCTACTTAAGTCATTAAATGTCACTTTAAGCTTAAGACTAGGATCTTGCAGTTATTTACTGTAAATTATATGCTCCTAATAGAATCAAATTAGTATATAGTATAGTATATAACAGCAAAAAAACAAAAAAAAACAGGTGTTACACTAAAATACTATGGTAATTTATATTTAAATTTACACTACATAATGTAGTATCATTAGTAACTATCATGAACTAATAATAATTAGGATAGTATTTTCAGCCTTTACTACAGTAAACTATATATATAGTTTACTGTATATATATATATATATATATACAGTATAGACCACCTCTCCCTCAGTCATCTTTCCATCAAGCAAATTTCTCGCGTTTGTCTAATTGGTTGGGGACGTCACGACCAAAGCAAGAAGTGGCAGTAACGCACCAAAAAGTTTGTTGTCAACTACTGAAAAACAGGAAGAAAAAGAAATCGTCATTCTCGCCATCATATGGATTTACTTTCATTGGCTAGACACGGGCCTCACAGCTCTGTGAATGTCGGTGCCGTCACTTATTGATCCGTGATTGGTAAATGTAGCTTGTGTTGACGCTACTATGCTACTTGACTAATAAAATAGCTTTGCTACTAAGCTAAGCTAGTAGCCTCACTACTTGTAGGGTCACTACTTGCAGCTCTCGGACTGATTTTAGTAGCCTAATGCTTTCAGAGGCAGAGAGGATTAACATAATTGGTAGACGTAGTGCGCCGCAATCAAACCGGAAAACCAATCAAAAGCATCAGAACAGAAGGCATCATGCTTTACTAAATGGCCTTAGTAGAAGGCATCATGCATATCAAAAACAGGCAAAGCACTCATTTTCTTGTCGGCTTAGTCCCTTTATTAGTCCGGGGTCGCCAGAGCGCAATGAACCGCCAACTTATCCAGCAAGTTTTTACACAGCAGATGCCCTTTCAGCCGCAACCCATCTCTGGAAAACACACACACACACACACACACACACACACACACACACACACACACACACACACACACACACACACACACACACACACACACACACACAGGACATTTTAGCCTACCCCAATTCACCTGAACCACATGTCTTTGGACTGTGGGGGAAACCAGAGCACCCGGAGGAAACCCACACGAACGCAGGGAGAACATGCAAACTCCACACAGAAACGCCAACTGAGCTTAGGCTCAAACCAGCAACCCAGCGACCTTCTTGCTGTGTGGCAACAGCACTACCTACTGCGCCACTGCCTCGCCGACAGGCAGAGCAACAGATTAATAATATTCAACATATTTAGATGTAACCCCATTTTTTAATCTTTAACATTTTTATAAATAACTGTATTTTAATTATACATTTTTTCTCAATAACTATAACAATTTACTGTTACTTTTAAATTACTTAACGCTGCTATATGTAACTAGGTACTCCCCAACACAGTCCACTGGAAAGCAATGCATTTATTTCACATGCTTCAAGAAATAATTAAGAGTCTCAAAAAAGAGAACATTTTAGTTATTCTGTAATCCGAGAATGTTTTATTAAAAACAAGCTGTCTTTGCTTCAGATGGATGCCATGGCAGAACTGCTGAGCAATTCTGATCAAGTGGAGCAACTGGTTCTAAGAAACACGGGTCTGACAGATGAACTGCTGAAAAGCTTGGCAACAGCGCTCAAAAGAAGCCCATCCGAAGTCACAGTGATTAACCTAAATCTGAACCAAATCGGACCTCCTGGAATCACTGTTTTACTAGACCTTCTCCAAGCCAAACCACACATCAAAGAACTACTGTGCGTTTCTGCCTAAAAATAAGCTGACTGCTCTGATAAAGAAACCCTTGAAGGTCGTTATAAATCATAATGAATGATGAATGTCCTTTTCTTTCTTCTTCAGATTGTTTGGAAACCAACTTGGAGATCTTGGAGTGCAGACCCTGCTTAGCGGATTGGCTGAACTTCAAGATAAAACTGCAGCGCCGCATGGAAACTCTGAACAGATCCACTGCTCTCCGGCTAACAGTGCCATCCTAGAGTTAGACTTAGGTGGAAACGGAATTGGCAGCGATGGCCTGAGAGTTCTGGCCACGTTCATGAGATATCATTCCCACCTTCAGTATCTGGGCCTGGCACAAACATCTTGTTCAGACATGGAGGCCTGGACGGTCTTGTTTGAAAGCCTCAAAGTGAACACCGTGCTGACGCATATCATTTTAGATGAAAGCAACCTCGGCGATGATGGTGTTAAATTGTTTTCAGAAGCACTGCAATCAAACAAGAGCCTGAGAAAGGTGGAATTGGATAATAATGGCTTCAGTGATGTTGGAGGACATTATCTCCTGGAGGCTCTGTGCCTTAGGGGAAAAGGTTCCCTGAAGAACCTGAGCCTGGAGGGAAACTACATCAGCACCGCACTGATGGCGAACATACAGCAGGAGCTGGAGTCTCTATAAAATGAGAACTATCATCAATTACGTTTTGCTTTACAATTCAAACTGCAGACGGGATGTAAATATGTGCCCAGAGCTACGTTTTTGCATGAAATATGATTCTTGGGTGATGTTTCCTTGCAGCTTGCAATGACAAATCCATTAGAGGTTGATGTCTTCATTTTTTGAAAATCTCAAATATGTTACTGAGCTGCGTTTTTCTGATATGTGCCATTTACATGTCCAAGCAGGCGGGGCTTGCCGTGCATATATTATCTTGTGACCGACTGACCTAAAACCTTTCCTAAACTCAACCGATAGTGTTTACAAAAACAAAAAATCAACTTGCGATTGACTGACCTAAACCGAACCGCTAGTGTTTTCAAAAGCAAAAGATCTACTTGCGATTGACCAACCTAAACCCCTCCCTAAACGCAACCAATAGTTTTTTTAAAAGCAAAAAATCAACTTGCGATTAACCAACCTAAACCCCTCCCTAAACTCAACCAATTGTGTTTTCAAAAGTAAAAAACTTGGGATTAACCAACCTAAATCCTTCCCTAAACCCAACCAATTGTGTTTTCAAAAGTAAAAAACTTGCGATTAACTGACATAAACCTTTCCCTAAACCCAACTGATAGTGTTTTCAAAAGCAAAAAAATCAACTTGCGATTAACTGACCTAAAACCAACCAATAGTGTTTAAAAGAAAATAAAAATTGTGATCCACTGACCTAAACCCTTCCTTAAACCCAACTGATAGTGTTTTCAAAAGAAAAAAAACTTGTAATTAACTGACCTAAACCTTTCCCTAAACCCAACCAATTGTGTTTTCAAAAGAAAAAAACTTGTGACTGACCTAAACCTTTCACTAAACCCAATGGATAGTGTTTCAAATGTAAAAAATCAACTTGCAATCAACTGACCTAAACCCAACCGATAGTGTTTTCAAAAGAAAAAAAACTTGTGATCCACTGACCTAAACCCTTCCCTAAACCCGACTGATAGTGTTTTTCAAATCAAATATAAAGAGAAATAAAGAGAAAATTGCATCGCAGCTGCGTATTTTTACCACATTTTTACCTGTTATGTGGAACCATCCTTCACTGGACTCAAATCTGAACGCTCTGTGTCTCAAGTACAACAACGTACAAGGTAAGCCACTGAGCAAACTGACCACTGCAGAAAAGTTGCCCATATGGAGGTAAGCAAGTAAATCAAATGCATTTGATTACACATCATAGAGTTTTTAACAGTGTTTTGTGGTATTTATTTGGCGCTGTGCAAAAAAACTTACGTGAATAATCTTTCATTCATTGATAACATATCCTTGTAAGGTATTAATAACTGAGTGTCAAACGGAACAAAAGTTGTTAGTGTCATACTGCTCTGTAGCATTAATTTTACCTACAAATGTCAGGCAAACAAGTACGTTTTCACAATTTTCCAGAAATGTAGCCTGACGCAAGTATTTCCAACAAGTCTGTG